AATAAGCGCACCAAATAATTACGCCTTAAATACGCAATTACAATCGTTAGAAAAAACATTTCCCCAAATATGATTCATTAAAACTAATTCCAATTATAAATTATTGCAGAATTTTTATTCCAAACGATAGATCTTTTTATTCTGTAAAAATTTTCGAATTATTTTTCAGTTTATCTTAGTTTATTACTTATTTATCTTAAGTTTATTGTCTAATTTTAATCTTAAGTTTATTTTAAGTTTATCATAAGTTTATCATTTTCAGTTTATTTTCCAGTTTATCTTAAGTTTATTTTCAGTTTATTTTTCAGTTTATCTTAAGTTTATTTTTCAGTTTATCTTAAGTTTATTGTCTAATTTTAACTACATCACAACAAAATAAATAGATAAAAAAATCAATGCAAAAATAAAAAACTAAATTTAACCCACAAATGAAACAAAAAAAAAAAAAATTCAATTTATAACCATAATAAAATCTTAAATAAACATCAATTCAGTTACTCATCAATTTATAACCATAATGCATTTGACTTCAATATGCAAAAAATATGTGGAAAAAAAAATTAAAAAAATCATTTTTTTTTTTTTACAAAATGTAAATACTTTATGGATCATTAGATTCAAACACATGCTCAATCTCTTCAGATGGATCGGATCTGCGTACCCGAAGCTCCATGTCCGCCTCCTCGATTTCTTCGATACCGTGCAACGATTGCGCAGCCGCCTCAGGGGATCCGTCGGCTTCCTGGATGTTTTCACCCCCAATGGATTCGGGTCGGCCTTGGGAGCCCTCCGCGACTTCAGATCCGACTGCAGGGTGGGTAAATACGGCTCCTTCTTCGACCTGAGCGAGTACGACGGCGGCGATTTGGCAACATCCATGGTTGCACGGCACCGCACAATCGGACGAGAAGTGTATGTGTGTGTGTGTGTTGTGAAGTGAGAAACACAGAATTAAAGAAAGAAAAATTGAATCAGAGTAATTAAGATAAGGAAGATGAAGAATAAAATCTGGTATTAACAAAACCTAAATCTTGTTCAAGTGGAAAGGAATATTCATTTAGGTGATTAAAAAAATATCTCGTCTTTTGAGGAAAAAAAAATTCTTTGGCTCATCCACCAGGTAATTATCTCCTAACCTTATCTAATTTTCTGGGTAAGACGTGAAAACACCCGTCGTCTGATTTCTCTTCGATATTGCTCGCATCTTCTTTGCCCCTTACGCAAATTTCTAACTAGCTCTCTCTCTCTCTCTCTCTCTCTCTCTCTCTCTCTCTCTCTCTCTCTCTCTCTCTCTCTCTCTCTCTCTCTTCTTGAAACAGCAATCGTTCAGCATGAATTTGGATTTTCTGGATGTATCCAATGAACGAAAACACAGAGACCGGTGTCTCCTGTTTTCGCCTGCTCCCAATTTCAGTGACGCTTGTTCATGCGAGGAGTGTCGTCCTAAAATCAAACAGCTCACAGATTTTGAGACCGATATTAAGTCTAAGAAAGATCTTGTCATGGTAAGTAGATTACCAATTAGCGAGTTTCAACAATTTTTAATTTCGTCGTCCCTTTTTTATTCTTTTGGTAATTATTTTCTGTGGATTTTCGAATAGGAGTTTGATAAAAAGCTTGACAGAGACGATACAGTCTGTACTTCCCTTTCTACCACGGCTAAGTGGTCGAGAATTCTGTTGGATTCGCTCTTCAGGCACCTCAAGGAAGTATACGAGGTAGTAATTGA